ATGCTTCCACGTGTCTCCATCAGGGGGGGCACTACTCTCTGAAAGCTCAGAACTTGCTGGGGCCAGATGGCATTGTTTGGTTCTCCTGGAAGGATTCAGACTTCTACTCTCTGAAGGCGGTCACCATGATGGCACGACCACATAACTTCAGGCCACGCCTGTCACCATAGAAACACTCTCAATGACACTCAAGGATTCTGCAGCAGCAAAGATGATTTTTGAAAACGTTTTTCTATAAAGTGACTGGTGATTCTGTACAGGCTGTTTTAAAAAGTCATTGGCCACTGAAATGTAGCTAATTCAGATATTTCTTCCAAACTAGCTGCACAAATAATTGCCCAATGGTAGCTGAGCAACCAAGAGCTTCCAGAAGTAACTGTACCAGAATCAATTATGTACTGGAAATATTCCCCAAAAATGCATCATTTCCTTCTGTGTAACTTTTTGCTTTTTTTAAACATAAATGATGAATAAAACTGATTATTTTTGAGCTGTTTGCAGGGATTTCTATCAGTCATAAAATGCTTAAAGATTTTCTTAACCACACCAAGTGCCCTGAAATCACTTTGAATTCAAACCAACATACCACTGGACTTGAACCTGAGACGCACAGTCAACTCAGAAAGTAGTGAAAGCTCCACATTGTTGGTTTGGAGGAATTTAAAGGATGAAGATTTCCTGAAACATGAGCAGCAGCTGGCACAGAAACCAACTGGTAACACTTGATTTCACAGCTAACATCAGTAACCCACAGGTCCACAAACTATTAACATTTCTGTTATCAAGCAAACTAAATAGCACATGTTAATGAGCGTGTTCACGGGGTTTCTACAGCTTCGGGACATTTTTCTCAAGGCCAGTTTAACAAGAACCACGACATGTGTCTGTGGCCATCAACGGTAACACCACAGATTTGTGGGCAATCATTTTAAGTGACAGTGTGGTCACAGCTTAGGATTCAGTTTGGTTTTTTAAACATTAATGACATTTAAGGTCAAACTCTCCCGATAATGACTATGCCGCCTTTCAACGCTTTAATGATCTACAAAAACTCTGCTTGTCTCAACATGTAAAAGCAAACTGTGAGCCTTTCCTATTTCGTTAAATTAAATGTTAAGCAACATTTATTTTAATGCACTGCTCTGACTGTCACTTTGTTTACTCCTGAAACATGTAAAATGATCCAGTCGATCAGACCTTCAGGTACACCTAATAAACGTCTGACAAACCAAAACGTTTCAGCTGCAGTAAAACACACAGTCAGTTTTAATACACATATTTATTAGAACAGGAATTAACTGGTACATCTACAGGACTTCTTAGTCACTCTGAATTCACAAAGGCTGTTTTTCTTAATTAATGCAACCTGCACCGGTGAACTCCTTTAGAAATGACTCTGTACAGACAGATGGCAATGACGGGTCAGCCTGTCTTCATGCTGTTGTTGTGAGATTTTCTTCGGGTTGCAGGAACGAGCAGGCCCACGTGAAAAAGATCCTTTATGTGGGGCGCTCCCTGGGACGGGTGACGAACTGCCACCACAGAGGGGGGAGGTCGCCCTCTTTGCGGGCAGGAGGGAGAGCTTCGGACTTCGGTCCAACAGCAGGGGTCTCAGCCTCTAGCTGGGCAACCTGGAAGTAAAAGGAAGGAAATGGTGACCTGAAGTTTCCAGTCCAACAAAAGCACTCTGGTGCCACCTACTGGAGTTTGTCATCAACAGGGACCCTTACATTCAGTTCCAGCTCCATGTTCTCAGCATCGGGCTCTGCTTGAATAGCTTTGCATGACTTACAGTTCAAAATAATTCCTATTTATCTTATACAGGCCTTAGATCATCCTGTCTAAAACAAGCCATTTATCTCCAGCCATCAAGTTTCTTAACCATTTATCCAATCAGGTTTGCAGAGGGGCTGGAACTTATCCCAGATGTCATAGGGTGAGAGACAAGCCTATCACAGGGCTAACACCGAGAGACAGACTCATATTCACACCTACAACCAATTTAAAATCACCAATTAACCTAGTTAATCAATCAACTCAGCTCTCGTTAAGCTGTGACCAAGTCTAGGATTATCTGCTCTCAATGACGTCATACGAATCCAAGAGTAGAAAACCAAGAAGAGTCTAAAAGCTGAGCTATATGGAACAGGAAAACAGGAAGTAGCACCTTTCTTGTCATTGGCAAAGGAAACCAGGTTAAACAAGGAGGTCAAAAGTAATGCTGGCATGTAAATGTTTGCTGCCCACCTCTTTCTCCCAGCTCTGCATCCTCAGTTTCTTCCACTGCTCTCTCTTGGAGAAATAATCAGGATACATGGCCTTTTCCGAGGGGTGCCAGTGGTCCAGCACCCACTCTGGGACCTACAGAGACAAAGCAGAGCTCACAGACACGTCTCTATCCAACATTAGGACAGCTAGCTTTTTCACTTCATTGTCCCCAGTTAGTTCAAACAGACCAGAAGTTAGGTCCAGAAAAAAGAAAGTCAGATACAGTTCGAAATAATTTCACGTTTGCTCTGTTTTACCTTGTAGCACTCGTATCTCTCATATGAGGTCCCTCCAGGAGAGTCGGGGAAGATGTAGGGCTGAGGATGTTGGTTGGCCCAGAATTCCTCCTCTCCTGCCTTTAGCATCATGGTGGCCTTCACCATGTCCTTCTCTGTCTTGTTGTCATCAAAGCGAGCCCGCAGTAAGCAGGCGTAGAAACGGTACTTGTCTCTATAATGACAAAACAACAGTCAGACCTCAAGAGAGACCACCAACATGTTTGAAGCAACTACATGACATCAAGAGAAAAAAGGTGTTAAAATATAAGCATGTGTATATTTTATACTAACAGAAACATTACATATGAATTTTATCTATAAAAACAGACAATAAGACTTTTCTTCAAACTTAATATCATCAGTGCAAAACATTTTAAAAACAAACTCTAAAGAAGGAAAATGAACAATTTTCTCTTTACTTTTTCTAAAATGAAAATATATATATTATTGTTCTTACAATCAACATAAATAACATTAAAAGAGCAGCCTTCAATCCTCATTAGAAAGACTATGCTGACGTGGGTAACATGGTGATTCACATTAAAACCCTGATACTGATTCTTCTGTCCATCTCTTTTCATAATGTGAAGCTCCTGCAGGCAGGTCATATTTCTAAACAAGCACAAAACTAATAATAATTTAAATACTGGCTGACTACTAGTGTAAAATTAAATCTGTAATGTGGAGCACGAGTTTGACCAATGGATTGGTGTGGCGTCAGCAGTAATGTGTGTGTTGTATGAGGCTGGGATGGTAAAGAGAGCAGAAAAGCCAACAAAATTTACCAGTCTGAGCCCCAGACCTCACCAATGGTAATGAAATCTGACAGACAAGGTATGCTCTCAAATGCATGAGGCTGAAACTAGTTTCCTCCATATGGTGTCTGAGCTCAGCATAACAGATTTTGGAGCAGAGACGCTGCTCCTGTGTGGTAAAAGGAGATGGTCAAAGTCGCTTGGGCATCATGTTAGGATGCTTCCTGATAAACCAGAAACAAACCCTGGGGTGGAGAGATTGTATTTCTCATGTGATCTAGGAACACCTCAGGAGGTACTGGAAAGTATGGGTGTGGGGAAGGATATCTGGAATACTTAGCCTGCTGACACCACAACCTAACACCATATAAATAGAAGATGACGGATGGATGGATCAATGTCCAAAATCTTACTGACCTAACTGTATGTATTGATCTTTCACCAATGAAAGCCTTTCATTTATTCACATAGACCAGAACTGACACAAATAACGCTACATCCGAGTGACTGAATGAATACTAGTTATCCTAAATATTAAACATCATGACAACTAACTTTGGAGTATTTTCCACATAAAGTTTAGACTAGTGCCTCCGATGATTAAGTAGAGTAATGTGTTTAATAACCTGTCTGCAGCTGAGCCAAGTGGGAGCTCAGCTAGAACTTTATTATTAGCCGCTTTTGACGCTAGCTGGCGCCATGTAAATACAAGTAACATATACTGACTCCTGCTCAAAAAGATTAAAATGAAACTATTGCAACTTCGCGATCTCTTACGCACATTCCCATCTGAATGACAAGTGGAGAAACAAAGATAACACTTTG